GGTCTACACTCCCCCTAAGAGGTGAAGCTGAAGTCAATCTGACACCTTAGCTACAAGTTCCCTTGTCTCATGGTTCCATTTGATCTGCATCCTGGTTTAGCTTTCCTACGCAAAAATGTTATACACTTGCTTTGATTTTCATTAATTCTTGCTCTGTCTCTGGGTACAGCTATCTGTACTGTGTTCACACTGCTAAATAGGTATACCCAAGCTAATTTTAAGCTAGCTAGCTTGGTATCAGTAGTAGTAAAGCTACAGAGGCAGGGACTTCATCACAAGTTACTCCACAAAGACAGCATTGGTTGGCCACTTGAGTAAGTACCCAGCATCCTTGGTAAGACAGTTCCATGTCATTCTGTTCATTGCTGTTTGTATCCAAGCTGGCAAGATCAAAGCTAGTTTGGAAATGGCTAGATATGCTACAGTGTAACTGCATTGTAGACATTTTTCTGAGTTCCCCTTTCTAAGCATCGCCTGGTCATAGTCAATTAGTACTGTCAGTACAATCTCATGGTCAAACATTAGTACCATCTCATGTCTTGTCTCAGCTTTTCCTTGACTAATGGTCTTATTAACTGTCTGTTCTTAGCCCATTCCATATTCCTTTCTGCTTATCATATTTACTGTGTTCTAAAATGAGATTCCCCTTCCCCATTTAACATGGGGCAAAAAAGCCTCTCATCCTGAAACAGAATAGAAGGTGATGGGAGGCACATAGCTGCAGTGGCTTTAGTTCAGGCCCTGGCCCTCCAATAATCAGATTCTATACATGGAAAATTATAACAAATTTATAAATTTTCCATGTATAGAATCTAATTACTGGGGGGTCATCTTAAATTCAGGGTAGTCTTGGATTTGGGTAAATGCAGTATATGGTTGTTGATTCTGTCCATTCCTTATTCTCCTTAATCTGTGACTCTTTTCCCTTCTCCTTCCATAGTGGCCAACCTATTGACCCTCAGCCTTGGTTCACCCCCAACATACACATCTTCCATTTCTGCTTTTTTTTATATTTCTCTCTCTCAAATATTCTGTAGCCAGGTTGATTTTTCTTATTGCAAATATGCCATTTCTTCAGATCTGCCATCTTTCAGCTAAAAAACGCTACTACTTTACCTCCATTAAATTTCATGTCCACCCTCCTGGCTTCCTCTTTGCCACCTTTGTCTCACTTTTCAAACCCTCCTGTCCTCCTGTTTCCAATTCTCTCTTGGAGAAGAGAGATTACATTTTGTTGATATTTTCTTAGGGAAAATTCTCTGCTCATTTCTCTTTCCCCTTCCATTCTCACAACTCTCTTCTCTTTCCTCATTCTAACAGATGTAGAAATGCCTTATTTTCTGTCTTTTAATAATGCTTTCACTTGCTTATGTAGCTTCAATCACTCTACGTTAATTTTCTTCCCCCTGTAACAGGGAACCCTAGCCCTGTTACTAGGAGGCAGGGATGCCCCTTTAAGACCCGAGTCTATAGGAACACCAAGCACCACGAGGGTAGGGATTAACAGCCCAACCACTCAGTTAGCTGACAGGAAAGGGTTAGGCCTCTGGGCACATATAAACCCCAGGGCTGAGGCTGGCAGGAGAAAGTCTCTGGCAAGTGGCCAGGGGAAGAGAGCTCCTGCATGGCAAAACTACTCATGAACAATGTGGCTGCTGGCCAGACTATTGCTATGGCTAATGAAGCTCCAGGAGTCTACAAGGTACCCAGAGCTGGGAAGTACTCAATACTTGAGGAGCAGTCTGGGGTTTTTAAGGAGCCAGAGTGTGGTTTGTAGGACTAGTATTATGTTATAGCCCAGGGGCTCATATTGATGTTGCTGTTTTATCCAGTGGACTGGGCTCAGGCTATTGGGGGAGAAGGAGACCTCATTGGGGCACACTCCTGTGCAAAGCCCCAGCACTGGGGGGTGCAGGAAAAGGGGGTGATCAGATCCCAGCACCAGGGGGCACAGAGACAGGGGGTGATCAGGCCCCAGTGCCAGGGGGCACAGTGACAGGAGGCGCAGAGACAGGGGGCAGACCCCAGTGCCAAGAGGCACAGCGATAGGGGATGGGTGGGCCTCAGTACTGGGGGGGGTGCAGTGACAGGAAGTGAGCAGATCCAGCACCCTAGGGTGCAGGCCAACATTTATATACCATCTGTGAGGCATGGGCCACCATGTAGGGGAGGTTTGGAGCGGTGGATAGCAACCCATAGTGTTGGAGTAGTAAAAGGGCAGCCTTCCACCTGAGTAACATCATAATTATTGTTCCAGCAAGGCGTGGCAGGAGAGAAAGGTGGGCGGGTAGCCCAGAGATAGAGGGTCAGGCCTACGTTAGACAGGCCCGGGGATGGACCCCATCACACCGCCTTATTCTCTAGGTTTCTCCCCTCATGACACAAATGTATCTTGGTCTTTTCCATCTTAAATCCACCCTTGAACCTACTTACCTCTTTAATTGCCTTCCAGTGTTCCTTGTTCCTTTCACGACTAAGCTCACTGAACAAGCTATATGCAATTTCTGTCCAGAATTTTTCTCTTTTATTTCTATCATATGTTCTTTCCAGCCTGGCTTCAATCTCTTGCACACAACTGAAATTGCTGTAGGTAAAACTTCTAACTAGCCTCTCATTAGCCAGCTTTCTGAACCAGTACTACTTCATCTGCCTTAATCTGTCAGCTGCCTTTGTTACAGCTGGCCATGCAATTCTTTTTGAAATCTTGTTGCTCCTTGGTTTCTACAACTTCAAACCCTTCTCCTCCCTCTCTAGACCTTATCTCTGGGTAATCTGTCCTGCAAGCAAAAAAATCCACTTCCACCTTTATATGGATAACTTGCAGATCTACCTCAATATTTTAGGTATGTCTTATTGTGTTCAAATTGAAGCCTCAGCCTCTCTGGCATTTCCCCCAGATGACTAACTATTTAGCTCAAGTGCAATCAACATGGCAAAAGCAGAGCTCTTGATATTCTGCTAAGCCCTCCTCACTACCTCCTTTCTTGAACACTATGCACAACCTTGCCACCCTGCCTGTGCCTCAGGCCCATAACCCACAAGTCATCATCAATGGTCTTAAAGTCCTTGTATCCAGCGTATATTTCATGTTTCCATGTAACATCTCAAGGTTACTACCTTTCTCATTCACATTCTTACATTCTAAATTAAGGGACAATCTGGTGATGCTTTCCATGTGCCTCTTGATTTCCATGGGAGGAAGACTGAGTGTACAAACGAGTAAATAATATTTACTGTTACATATGGGCTTGAGCCAGTGGGAGGCAGAGAAAACCAGCAGAAAGATTCTGAATATTCCCATTTGATTTCAGATTTCATCTGAATTCTGAGTTCAACCAGAATGGAGAATGCTCTGCACTTTGCAGGATTGGGGTTTGGATGAAGGAATAAAAGTAAAAGTGAAATTTGTTTTAGTTAATTTCCCTTCAATATTTTAAGTCACCTTTTACTGTATGCTTCAGTCTCCAAGGTGGTGATGGCTTCAACAGAGTATTTTGATTACATTGACCCATGCCACAGAAACACCTATACACACTTGTACTGCATTCAAAATGCAATCTTTTATTTTGTATTACAAATGCACAGTTTATGACAAAATATTGTAACTATAGCTTATATACATTTATACACTTTAAATTAATGATACCTGCCTGAATGTTTCCAAATTATTTGGTCTTTTCTTCTCAGTAACAAATATGTTCTGTTGTTTTGCCTGCATAGTTTAACAATGCTTCTTTAAATTTAGTTCATGAACAAAGGCCGCTTTACATAATTGTAATGGCTTTAATTATACTGTCTTCAAATAACAAAATGTCCGAGACAATGTAACAGAAAATGGTATTTCTGTAGGTGTTTTGGACCATACAAAGGGGTCTAAGTGCTCTAAAATTTTGCAGGATGATCAGAAAAAGCCTGTGGAAATACATTATTAAATCCAGTACGTTTTTTAGTATGACTTTTAGAGCTTTCTTTTTCCATCTCTGTAGAACTGTATTAGTTTCATCCATTTAAAGTTTAATAGGACTTTCCCATAAGGACTGCTGTTCTAGTCTTATCTCTCATGAGCAAAAGCTGCCAGTGGTACTTTGCTGTTTTGTAACAGACTGTTTCAGCACACTCCGTTTTAACTTGTGATCTAATAGCTGTGATTCTTAGCAAATGGAAGGAGTCAATGGAAAGACTTTTGCTGACTCCATTTGACTTTGGATTAGACTCCAAGTCCGGTTTTGAACTAGGTTCCAAGAGGTAAAAACCTAACTGTCTGAGCCTCATGAGGAGCCCATCTTTACTTCAGAGTAACTGGAATGATAATTAAAGTATTGCTGGAATCCTATCCACACACAATAACTCTTAAAGTGAGTATGATGGTATTTCTTTTCTGAGATGTCTGGACCACCAAGGGGCATAGTCTTCAGCTGAAGTCAGCACATCCCAGCAGCTGTTAATACAATTCTTCTGTGATGCTAATCTAATTCCTCAGTCCATCTCCAGCATCCTTTTGTAGTTTGCCTGTTCTTGCTCAAGGTAAGCTAACTCATAGCAGTAACCGGGACAGTGAAAACATAGTTAAAATGCAAGATAAAAATCCCATTCATATATATACAAAGCATGTGCTACCTTCAGTTAGATGTCTAAGGCTTCATTTAACTCATTTTCCTTAATTACTTTTGCTGTGTCTTCTCTTTTTGTGAAACCACATCATGTATATCAAATGCATATTTTTATTTATCATAATTATATAGCACCACACACATTAATTACACTTCACAGATGAGAAGAAGGTAGGGCAGGGTGGCACCTTAGGGCATTTCTACACGTGCTCTGGGATGCAGCACTGAGTGCTTTAATTAGCAGCCGTGCTAATTAAATAGCGCCCATGTGTTGCATGTATCAGCATCCCCATTTATCCCTGCACTGAAAAAAATGGCAGCAGGGTGCTTTGAAATAAAACATGTTCAATGAGATTTAGTTCAAAGCACTCCCCACCATGTTTTCAGTGCAGGGGTGCATGGGGACTCTGATACATGTGACGCATGGGCACTTTTAATTAACATGGCTTGCTAATTAAAGTGCCCAGCACCACATCTCAGAGCATGTGTAAAAATGCCCTAAGCCATGGGACTGCCAAAGAGCATCAATTTCCGTGCTCCCGCAGAGTTGATTAATCGAGTCTGCTCTGGCACACTGCATTTCCAGCACATCAGAACAGGCTCCCTGCATGTCTGTAGGAGCCTTTAGAGATTAACTTTATGCCTGACTTCAGACTAACATGGCTACCCACTTCACAGGCAAATGTATGAGCCAAGTCTTTACATCTGATGAGTTTACATTCTAAATGACCTCCATTCAAACACATGGTGCTCTCAGTTACTCATGTATAACTCTAGTGAATGCAGCATATTGCAAAGGTGTAGAAATGTCCTGCTCTTTGGGAAGTCTGAATTATCTTTATCTTTATTTTTACTTGTGGTGTATACTCTTTACTGAGCCATAATCTATAGATATGGATTTACATGACATTCCACTGCAGTAGTGTCAGAGAAATTACAGAAAGGAAAAACACGTTAAATTATAAAAAGCACAATTTTTGATTATTGATCAAAACTGGTAGAAATCCTGGGAATTAGGCTCTTAAAAAATTGATTTAAATGATGGTTCTACAGGATCTTGCATTCTTCATCAACTCATCTGGAAATGGTCTGTCTGTTCAAAATGCTTTCTTTCAAATTTACAGAGAGCATGGTTAACTGTTTAATACTGATAATAGCTATTATAATATGACTGCATGCAGACAACTGTAAACTGAAGTCACTTATCTTCATTAGTAAATAGAGACATTTCAAATGATAGTGTGTCAAATATAGTTCAGCCATGGAAATATAAATATGCCAAGAAATGTGATTTATTTGTGAAAAATGTTGTCCATCAAGAGTAGAAGCAGATGCCTAGCTGGAATTTAGAATTGAGATCATATCTCCAAACTTTCAGGAATCAGCACAGATGCCACAATGTTCACATTGGGGTGCCATAAAAGGTGGCTATGAATAGCAACTTAAACACTGTGTTACGAGATTTTCTAGTGATATTGAAATAAGCAAACTGTGCTATCATGCTACAGACACAGCAGACTTCTTTCTTGAGCTTTCTACTGAAATCGAAGTTCTTAAAGTATCCAAGGAACTTTCCATCTGTGTGGACTCTGATCTGTTGCATTTCCAGTTGCATAAGCCTTTGTACAATTCTCTGGACTTCTTCCTGAAATGCTTGCCTACAATGACATACAGTAATGGGTTAAGGCAACTGTTGCTAAAAGAAAAATATGTAGATATCTGGGACAGAAAATCATTGACCTCTTTAACAAGGCAACCAGTAATGACCTTTAATTGAACTAGTGTGTCAATTATTGTGCTGATCTGGAAAGGAAGCCAGCAAATGATAAACAATAAAAGAACAAGAAGGACCAAGATGGTGGCTCTCTTCTCTGTCTGGATTTCCTTGAGTTTTTGCAGTTCATTTTTTCGTAAGGCTTTGATGATTTGAACAGTACAAAAAGTAATCACTATGAGTGGGATCAAAAAGCCCACAATGTTCAGCAAACAGTTTGTTGCAACTGACCAGTACAGGGACGGATATGGAAGATAGCAGGCTGTGATGTTGTGCTGTTCCAAATAACTTACACTTCTGAACACCAGTGTGGGTGAACACATGAACAAGGCACATAGCCAGATCAAAAAACTATTCCACTTGGCACAGGAACTCCGCCGCATGCGTCCAAAGGACATAGTTTTCACTAGGGCCAGGTAGCGATCAATACTTACCATCGTCAAAAAATAAATACTAGAGTAAAAGTTTGCATAGCTGGCTGCATTGACAACTTTACATAAGAAAGTGCCAAAAGGCCAGTTAAACTTATTCGCGATAGTAATGGCCCAAAAAGGTAAGCTACATGACAGTACCAGGTCAGCAGCTGCCAGGTTTGCCAAGTAAATTTCAGCCACTGTGCAGCGACTTTTGTGGAAACAAAAAACACTGAGGACAAAGCCATTTTCCATCACTCCCAACATAAAAATGATCCAGAGGAAAATGGGCTGAAAAGTGAAAACCCAATTCCATACTTCTGTAGTAGGGCAGGTGGAGTTGCTGTTTTCTGAAGTGTTGTATAACACTGACTGGCTGAGTCCCAACTTCGAAGTGGTCACAACATTGGGAAAGGCTGTAACATTTTCTGCTGTAAGGGAGATCATCTCAGACTGGAAAATAAAAGGTGAAACAAGTTTAATGTATACAGCACACCGCTGCTAAAGACTCAATCAGTAAAGAAGTAAAAATGTCTCTCTGCTACCACTCCTTGTGCGCTGTTAAAAGAGATGCTTGCAGACTGACATTTCATTATATAGCATGTGATTTGTCCCGTCACAGCAACCTTAAATTAGCGGGAACTTTGTGATGGTAAACACAGGTACATATCCAGGCGGGTGGAATTTAGGTAGCTAAAGACAGAGATCTAATGACAGGAGACATGGGCTATAATGAAAGGGGGTTATGACACAGGATAAGCTGGAATAAATCATTTATGACCCTTATAGCTAGGTCTCAGCTAGACCAGTTTTGATCCTTTGAGTGGGATGCTGCTTTGCTCCTTTATCTTTCTATACAATTAGCCATAATCTCTCATGGGACTGACTGCACATTCTTGCAAACTGTAGAGTATGTGAGTGTTAAGTTGTGGCATGTTACTCATTTTGTACTCTTCAGTGTAAAACAGCAAACTTGGTTTATGTGGAACACAATGATTCTCTCCCTCTCCCCTGCACTCCCTTCCCTTAATGGTCTTTCAAACAGAATGAATGTTGTCATGACCAAGACCCACCATTTCCAGACTGATTACTTGATATACTGCTGTGATTTTGCACTGGCAAGTCTGTGGATGTATAACTCTGCATCTGCTCAGATTGCATCATTTGATCTCTAGGCTAAGTACAGACATTCAAAAAGCCCTAGCCTGAATTGATTCAGTCTTTGCAGGCTAGTCTAACCTGCATAGATTAAACCAATTTGCAAGTGAATAGACATTCAGTTTTGATTCCAGAAATATAGCCACATGCCTGCAGTGGCCCAGGCTAGAAGCTATGGGGCCCTACAGTGAGCCCTCCCTTCCTTTTGGCAGCAGTTACAAGGCTAGAGGGAAGCTGAGCTGGGGGGAAGGAGAGGAAGGGATGTGGCTAGGCTCTGGCAGGCTGCTGAGTATGATTGGAGAGGGGTTTAAACTTCCACCCTGGCCTGCAAGGACCCCATCTGGGGTGAGCTTGGAGGGGGAAGGGGGAAGCAGCCCTTGCCAGGTTTGTACCAGAGGGTAGGAGACATGGCCAGACACTGGCCCAGGCAGTGCCTCAGGTGAAGCTGGAGAGAGAGAGGAATTAAACCCCCCATCTCCCCTCTCTCCCACCAGCATGGGAACCCTAACCAGGTTCTGCTTGGCTTTCCCACCTACTGGCCACTCACACAGCGGGGGCATGGCCAGAGCTGGCCTGGGCAGTGCTTCAGGTGGAAGGGGGTCAGGGAAGGGAATTAACTCCCCCTGCCCCCCCTCTCTCCCACCAGCATGGGAATCCCAGCCAGGGTCTGCCTAGATTTCTACCCCACTAGCTGCTCATGTGGTGAGGGGCATGGCCAGAGCTGCCCCAGCAGCAGCCTCAGGTGCTGCCTGGGCCAGCTCTGGCCACGGCACCCACGGCACGAGCAGCCAACAGGGTGGAAAGGCAGGCAGACCCTGGCTGGGGTTCCTATGATGGTATAACTGATATCATATTAGCAGGGCCATCCCTGGTGGGGATGAATCAGGGCAGCCACCCTGGGCCCCATGCTTTGGGGGGCCCCGCAGAGTAGGGTGGAACAGTAGCGGTGTGGAGCTGGGCAGAGTGGCAGTGGGACTGGGCAGGGGGGCAGCTCCACATCCAGCCGCTTGATTACCTCCCCCTCCCCACCCCTCCAATGGTGGTGGCAGCTTCTTCGGATCCAGGATCAGAGCAGGGGCAGGACTTCACATGGGCTGATTTGCCCCAGGCCCTGCACCCTGCTTGGGTCACCTCTGCATATCAGATACATATATTAGGGCTGTGTGAAACACCATCGTTTCGTTTCGATGTCCATTTCAGTTTTGAAGGGACAGTGTTTTCTTTTGTCATTTTGTTTCATTTCGAAGCACTGTCCCATTTCGTTTAGTTGAAACTGTTTTGTTTTTTTGCCCATAGGCTATAATGGGGAATCATGAAAATGTCTAAAACTTTGTCATTTTTTGGCTGATTTGGATGAAAATCATAGGGATGGTAGCCCCTTCTGAGGGCATGAAGCCTGCCACGTTCAAGGAGATTGGTGCAGAGATTTCTGGGAAACTGCACTTCAAACTGTTCAAAGCACAACTCCTCACACTTGCCAGTGGCGGCAGCCTCCTCTCATCCAGTGCGCACATCTGGGGGCCTGCACATCTGGGGGCCTGTACCCCTAGGAGAGCTGTGGGGCTGTGCTGGACTCCTCCCAGGGGTGTGAAGTGTTTTCAGCTTTCCAGATGGGGATACTTGGATTTTGACCGATGTGAATTTTTTTATAATTCAAAAACAAACAATGCCCCCCCACCCCCATCCTTAAACCGGCATAACTAAAACATGTACAATATACAAGGAGATCCCCTTCTTTCCTAAAGAGATGCACTCTGAATTTTTGTTACTTGTTGTCTTAGTTTTTATCCAAACAGTTTATAGACTAATATAGAGGGGTTAGGAGAGCTCCTTTCCTGCAGACAGATATAATGTTAAGGCCTCAGGATTATAGCATCAGTCATTTTGAGCAACACCATCGTTGCAGATTCCACTCCTCCAGCAAATGGTCACCTACCAGACAGTGAATTCTTGACAGCTATTCTTTGAAGGCAGATCATACACTTGGCTGATTTTATCTAGACTGTTTTTCTCTATTTTGCTTATCAAAATGTCATGGGTGACCAGATGTCAACAGTCTAAATAAAATCAATTTATCACATTATGGCTTTCTCCCACCCACAAGGCCAAATAACGTGTTTAAAAAGACAATCAGCCTCCCACCCAGTAGGCCAAATAACGTGTTTAAAAAGACAATCAGATTAGTGGGACAAAATCTGTTTTTCATATATCCAGACTGGCTGTTTCTCATCACCTTATCCTCTGTGTTAATAAAGTGATTGTTTAATCATTTCTTCTAGTATCTCTGCAGGTAATGAAGTTGACCCAACTATACTAAAATTCTCTGTGTTATCATTTTAAACCCTTTTTAATGGTGGTGCTGTATATACCTTTCTCAAGTCATCCTCTTGTACAGTCTGCCTTCTCCATGTTACCCAAGTAGCCTTGCTAACTTCAGTACTTCTAATTAATGCACATAAACATAATGTTCAAATTGTTCTTTCCTTATTCTGACCCATACTTGCACCTTCTTGCTACATTTAACTGTTAAGTTACAACGTCTTCACTCCAAAATGCTTTTTTATTGTAAAATTAATAGTCTGTATCTGGATATTGTTCTTTTGCTAGCTACATTGATGATGGCAAGGCACAGGAAATTGCTAAACAGTGCTACAACCTTTTCCACCATTCTCTGAATCACAGATGAATGACTTTTAAACACATGTATGTGTCCAACCACACAGCATGCAATAAAAGTCTTAACACTCAATGCCAGTTTATTTTAAGAACACTGAAACAAAGAGGGCGTCAAATACTTCAGTCTTCTCTGTGTCATCTTGGAATGGTCAAAGAAAGCTTAAAACATTGGTTTGGCAATTTCCTGTGCCTCTTCATCTTGTCTATGGCTAACAGACAAACTACATCCAGCCACAAAGCATTAGATGGTACGTGGCCTAGGATATTTCTTCCACATCTCATCTCTTCTGCATTATTGTAGAAAGGAGAGATTTAGAAAGGCAGTACTTGAAAAATGAAGCAAATCACTTGCATTACATTTACTGTGCATGGATAGCCTATGCAAGCTCTGTGTCTTCTCTGCAATGTTCTATAAGTGTCTTCTCTGCTGTCTTCATTTTGTGTTCTGGTAAGGTAAAACCTGTTACAGTAGAGACCATACACATTGCTTTAAATCCTTAGCTGATGAAATTCATCATGACTGTCTATCTGATGAGCAAGGTTTTCCTGGCAATATGTTTTATTGAATAGTTGGGGGAGATGTTAGACAAGGTTTTGGGCACACATGCCCGTCTTCACATCTGGGAAAGAAGCAGAGACAGCCTAAGCTAATTACCACATAAGTACCTGAGACATCCTCAGTTGACCATGGCTCAAGGTAAGTAATCTTGGCAGAAGTCAATTTTTATTTTTAATAAATAATTTTGACAGCTAAAGTTGATATTTATTTTTAAGCATTTATTTCAATTTTATTGATTTAATTTTTCAGGATTGCCTGAAATTGGGCGTGTGGGGGTTAGACAATTTAGTAATGACAGTATACTACTGAAAGCTTTACACAATTATATGTCAAAATATAAGAAGTAAATATCCATAAATCAATAAATTATACCCGCTTTAAATCATTCTGTTCATTCATCAGGAAAAACCTAGGCAGGCAGGGATGAGAAGAGGAGGGGAGCAGCACTCCCAGAGCTCTGGGGACATGGGAAGAGGTAGTAGTCACCCTTTGCCCCCCTGCTTAGCTGGCCTCGCCAGGACCCTACTGCCTTCGGGCTGGAGCTTGGAATACTTTTCCCCTTCCCACCTCCCACTTCTAGCCTTTGGGTAGAGATGTGTTTAAGTAAGCCTGTTAGCTCCTTCCAGCCCACTTCAGGCACCTGTGAATGAGCAGCTAATTGCTTAATTGATGAGTCATTAGCCCAACCATTTTTTTCCTCTTTAACCTCTCTAACCTCTGTCTCTCCAACTGTTTTTCTCCACTGTCCAATACCAGGGGTAAGGGTTCCATGTTACAGTTCCCTTTCTATAAATTTTGATTATTACCAATGGAAACATTTTTTTCTGTCAATCTGTGATTGTGAGGTGAAGTTGCCATGTATCAATTGTTTATCAGTAAAAACTGAATCCTGCGAAGCCTACAGATAAGTTAATCATTATTGTTGTTTAACTCCATTTTATAAAATGGTCATTTAAAGACATAGAAGAAGGCTGTAAAAATGGTGGGCAAAGAAGTTTTCAGACTTGACTACAAAGCAAATGAAGGGCAATTGAACTAGATAATCCAATTATGAATAAGA